GCATACTGCACTATTTCTCTAGTATTCAAAATGTTGTGAGATAGACCTTTACTATTCCCATTTTGTGCATATAAGTGGCACTCAGATCACTAACATTCATTATGTAAGTCCTCATTAACACAAATTATATTCCTGTTATTGGAATGTGTTGCTTCCATTATGGTGCATCCTCTTGAACATATTATGGTCTCCTGTAACAAACATTTTAACACAACTCCTTAAATCACAAATTCTCTCCCTGCTGAAGTATCCTATGGACAGAATCCATGACACAATTAAATTCTTTGTTGTACCGTGTGACTTGAAACTCAAATGCCACAGAGTTATGGACAACATAACAAAGGAAGTGTTCATTCTATCATCTTGTTATTGCAAAAATGTATGCAAAAATCAGAAATGAAGGCTGCAATCCCAAGCTTATTTTGGAAGGACACAGTGAAACTCCTTCTCAAGAAAAGCTGCCCAGAATAAAGCTGCAAAACCTTAAGTCACTATATATACACATAATATAAAATAATAATAACAACCAATTGTTCTTTCTCTTTTGTGTATAAGTAAAAGAACACAACAGTAAAATACAGGAGGCAGTTACTTCAAAGGATTTGGCATAAAGTACAAAAGCATAGTGAGTGTACAACAGGCAGACTACAGCCATCAGAAGAGTGAAGAGAAGAACATAACAATAAAATACAGGTGGCTGTTACTTCAAAGCATTTAGCATAAAGTACAAAAGCATAGTGCGTGTACAACAGGCAGACTACAGCCATCATAAGAGTGAAGGGGAGAACACAACAATAAAATACAGGTGACTGTTACCTCAAAGTATTTAGCATAAAGTACAAAAGTATAGTAAGTGTACAACAGGCAGACTACAGCCACCATAAGACTGAAGGGAAGAATATAACAATAAAATGCAGGCAGCTGTTACTTCAAGGGATCTGGCGTAAAGTACAAAAGCATAGTAAGTGTACAATAGGCAGACTACAGCCATCATAAGAGTGAAGGGAAGAACATAACAATAAAATACAGGTGACTGTTATCTCAAAGCATTTGGCAAAAAGTCCAAAAGCATAGTAAGTGCACAACAGGCAGACTAGAGCCATCATAAGAGTGAAGGGAAGAGGAAAATCCCACCTATTACACTTGGATTAATCGTACTCACAGATTTAGTGTTTATGTGATCCAAATACAGATGGCACTTGCAAATCTGTATGATGTAGGCTGGAGAGGGGCTCAAGAGAGTGGTAAATACAGCTTGAACAACCCTTTTCCAAATGGCTGGGACCAGAAGTGTACCATATTTAGAATTTTGGGGGATTTTTTGGAATTCTTAAGCGGCTGAGAGGGGGAAAGGAAAGGGCCTGAGGCTGTTAGGAATGGCGGGAGCCCAAAACACCTGGAAGGCCCAAGTTTGCCCAGGCCTGGTGTAGATACTCCATTCTCAAAGCCTTGGGTGGCATTTGAAACCTTTTTGTGCCAGACCTGTCCTGCTTAAAATAAAAATAAAAATGGGGATTTACAAATGTTGCAGCTGTCATTTCAATCCAAGGAAGGAGGGTGGCAAAAGGAAAGGGGGAGAATTAAAGGGGGCAGGCAAGAGGAATCCCCCCCACAAGGGTTTCCAAACCGAGAGGCAGACCTCCATCACCACCACGGCACCCTCCTTAAACTGTCCCTCTGAAGCGGCAGAAGACCAACAGGAGGAGAGGTCCTCCTCCATGGCAGCCCGAAGCCGCCGCTTCAACGCTGAGGAGAAAAACAAAGAGAAGGAACAGCGAGGGTTACCTTGGCGTCCCGGCTGCCGGAAGAACCCCACCGCCTCCACACACACACACACACCAAGGAGAGCACTGACAGCTCCCAGCATGCCGCGCGGCTTCCTGCTTTCCTTCCTTTCTTCCTCCCTTCGCCTTCCCGTCTCTTCGCATTACCCTGCAGCGCCACCTGCAGGGGCGGAGCGGAACAGCGCCTTGGCGCAGCACGCAATCCCTCAAGGCTAGTTAAGCACCACTACTAGTTCAGCCCCAAAAGTCAACATTGACATCGAAATATAACACCGCCTGAGCTCTGCGAGTGCAGCATTTTTCCGAATGAAGCACAGAGTGTTTGAGGGCCAGGACTTCCGTAGGGATACCAAGGTGCTTGTTTATAAAGCTATTGTCCTCCCAACTCTGCTATATGCCTGCGAAACATGGACTGCCTACAGATGCCACATGCAATTCCTAGAATGATTCCATCAGCGCTGCCTCCGAAAAATCCTGCAAATCTCTTGGGAAGACAAGCAGACAAATGTCAGCGTGCTGGAAGAAGCAAAGTTCACCAGCACTGAAGCGAATGGTACTCTGCCAGGCATGTAGCCGGGGGGAGGGGGGCTGAGGGGCTTCAGCCCCCCCCCCCCCCAAATTCTCATGGTGGTTCGCGAAAAGGTTTTACTGGTGCATTATTTAAACTGTTATGTTTATTCATATCATGATCTGATCACCATACTCAATATATCCCATATGCATGGGGTATTGGGTAACGATACAAAAGGTTTGCTAGGGTAGACCCTCTTTCACTCAGACTCAGCCCCCCCCGAAACAAACTCACCCCCCCCCCCCCCCCGAATCAATCCTGGCCACCAGCACTGAAGCAATAGTCCTACACCATCAACTCCGCTGGACTGGCCAAATTGTCTGAATGCCTGATCACCATTTCCCAAAGCAGTTACTATACTCCCAACTCAAGAACTGAAAACCGAATGTTGGTGGACAGGAAAAGAGATTTAAAGATGGGCTTAAAGCTAACATTAAAGACTCTGGCATTGACATTGAGAACTGGGAAGTCCTGGCTCTTGAGCACTCCAGCTGGAGGTCAGCTGTGACCAGCAGTCCTGTAGAATTTGAAGAGGCACGAATGGAGGGCGAAAGAGAGAAATGTACCAAGAGGAAGGCGCGTCAAGCCAACCTCGACCGGGACCGCCTTCCACCTGGAAACCAATGTCTCCACTGCGGGAGATGCAGATCAAGAATAGGGCTCCACAGTCACCTACGTACCCACTGCCAGTACACCAATCTTGGAAGACAATCCTACTCGGACAACAAGGGATTGCCTAAGTAAGTAAGTACACTTGGAGGACCATCATCCTCAGCCTATGAGGGATCGCCTAAGTAAGTAAAAGTAAGCAAGTTCTGCCCCACCAGTTCAGCCAGGAAGTAGCAGCCAATAATGAAAGGACCAAAGCCGTGACATCTCTGGCCCATCCCCTGTTCAGATATCAACCAGCATGTCAAAATGCCTTAAATCAAGACATAGTTTGCTAAGATCTACAGAGATACTCACAAGAACACCTCAGCAAGCGAGAGTCCAAAAGTGGCAGGCTAAAACCCAGCACCTCAATCCATGGCTGATACCAAACGAGAGAGTCCCTCCTGGGCACACAGAAGACTGGGCGGCAAAAGTATGATAGCTGGGATCCAGTGCTGCTAGTGCTATGCTGGTTGCGTAACAGAGTTCTGAATTGTTGCATTGGAAGGAAGGATAAAAAGGAGGGGAGAAATACGAACAGTGGTGAAAAATGAATCAAATCCAGTCCCTCTTACATTACTTCACTGTTATCCTGTCCCACCTGTGTTACATTTAATTTTTTTAATGTTTTTTTATCTTTAACTGCAACCCAGCTTTTGCACTTTCTTCTTTCACCTTGGTGATATGGCTTGGTTATAATGTACTAGCCGTCCCTTGCCACGCGTTTCTGTGGCCCAGTCTGGTGATCTGGAAAATAAAGTAATTAGAAAGTGTTGGTTTCTAATATATGTAATTTCTTTATGCTTGTGGGTAAACGATACTTCTTGTTGTTTCTTTGACAGTGTTGATATAGAGATCGTCTGATTTGCCTACTCTGGAACATGAAACATATTATTGTCCTTCTTTAGGGGTCCCTGTTATATCTATGATACTATATCTGCCATATACATATCTCTCTCTGTGTGTGGATCACATATATCTATCTAAATTATATGTGTGTGTGTGTGTGTGTGTATGTATATGTATATATATATAGCTGGATGGCTCTTTGTCAGAAGGGCTTTGATTATGTTTTCTTGCCCTGGTGAAGTGAGTTGGACTGGATGGCCTTAAGGCAGCATTTCTCAACTTGGGGGTTGGGATCCCTGCGGGAGGGTCATGAGGGGGTGTCAAAAGGGTTGCCAAAGACCACCGGAAAACACATTATTTTGTGTTGGTCATGGGGGTTCTGTGTGGGAGGTTTGGCCTGATTCTATCATTGGTGGCATTCAGAATACTCTGATTGTTGGTGAACTATAAATCCCAGTAACTACAACTCCCAAATGTCAAGGTCTGTGTTTCCCCAAACTCCATCTGTGTTCATATTTGGGCATATGGAATATTTGCGCCATGTTTGGTCCAGATCCATCATTATTTGAGTCCACAGTGCTCTCTGGATGTAGGTGAACTGCAACTCCCAAACTCAAGGTCAATGCCCACCAAACCCTTCTAGTGTTTTCTGTTGGTCGTGGGAGTCCTGTGTGCCAAGTTTGGTTCAATTCCATCATTGGTGGAGTTCAAGATGCTCTTTGATTGCAGGCGAACTATAAATCCCAGTAACTACAACTCCCAAATGACAAAATCAATTTTTTTGAGTGATGGTCACTCCTTGGGTTAGTCGGTGTCTTGTGGCCAAATGGGGCGGCAATTCGTCCAGCAGGTTTTGAGTTATGATGTCACTCAAAACAAACAGAGCATTTATATATATATATAGAATATATATACGTACACACACACTTCTAAGGAGTTAGTTTAACCACCAGCTTGCTAGTAAAACTGAAATAGCCTGTTGAGAAAGAATGTATGTCTCAAATAAGTGTCACCAACATGCGAAGTTTGGAAAGCTTTGTTCTGCATTGCAGAATGTGCACCCCAGGGGGCGCTGTGCAAAGGAAAGGAACACTTTGGTCTCTTTGCAGGTTGAATTCGAAGGCACTTCCTGGGCTGAGCTCTCCTCCTCCTCCTCCTCCTCCTCCCACGTGGGTTCATTCATTCCTGGGTGAGCCTGAAGTCTCCTGGCTCTTCCTTCCTTCCTTAATGGCTCCTGCAGTCTTCTTGGAGATCAGACAGAGGACGCAGAGCGCGTTGCTCCTTCTCCGGTACGAACTTCCCTTTTTCCAATCCCCCTTTTTATAATTCGAATGGCAGTCTACACCAGGCATGGGCAAACTTCGGCCCTCCAGGTGTTTTGGACTTCACTCATACAATTCCTAACAGCCGTAGGCTGTTAGGAATTGTGTGAGCTGAAGTCCAAAACACCTGGAGGGCCGAAGTTTGCCCATGCCTGCTTTACACTGCTCTACACTGTGGGATGAACACCACTTCCACTGCCATGGCTCAGGGAATGCCATCCTAAGCAGATTTGCCTAAGTGTAAAACTGATACCTTCCAAGAGACTTGTTTGTGAGTGTACAGGCAGTCCCCGAGTTACAAACATCCACCTTACAAATGACTCCTAGTTAAGAACGGGGCTGAGACAACATGAAGTGAGTTTTGTGTGTGTGTGTGTATGTCAGGAGCAACTTGAGAAACTGCAAGTCGCTTCTGGTGTGAGAGAATTGGCCGTCTGCAAGGATGTTGCCCAGGGGATGCCTGGATGTTTTGCCATCCTTGTGGGAGGCTTCTCTCATGTCCCCGCATGAGAAGCTGGAGCTAACAGACGGATTCAAACCTCCGACCTGTTGGTCTTCAGTCTTGCCGGCACAAGGGTTTAACCTAATGGTTCTCAACCTGGGGTCCCCAGATGTTTTTGGCCTACAACTCCCAGAAATCCTAACAGCTGATAAACTGGCTGAGATTTCTGAGAGTTGTAGGCCAAAAACATCTGGGGACCCCAGTTGAGAACCACTGGTTTAAGCCATTCTGCCACCAGAGTCTCCTAGAAAGTGAGAATAATAATAATAATGATAATAATAATAAAAACTTTATTTGCCATCCTTGTGGGAGGCTTCTCTCATGTCCCCGCATGGGGAGCTGGAGCTGACAGAGGGAGCTCGTCCTTGCTCTCCCTAGATTCGAACCTGTTGGTCTTCAGTCCTGCTGGCACAAGCGTTTCACCATCACACCACCAGGGGCTCCTAGGAATTGAGATAAATAATAATAATAATAATAATAATAATAATAATAATAACAACAACTTTATACCCCACCACCATCTCCCATAAAGGACTCAGGGTGGTTTACAGAAGCACCTACAAGTACCATAAATATCTAAAATACAGATAGGATTACATCAACATATTAGACAATGACACTAATAATATCAGTTAACAAAAAATCTACCCCTTGAAAGGGAAATTTACTCCTGGAAGAGTTATCATGAGGAAAAGGTGTCTCCACTGAAGCTTTATCTCCAATATTTGTTCCCACAACAAGCCAAATTTTTCAAAATCCAATTATTCCAAGGACAGAAAGTGAAAGGAAATCTTCTGAACAGACAGCAAAACAAATGCCATAGGGGTGTTAACCCTATGACCCTATGACAGGGGTCCTCAAACTTTTTAAACAGAGGGCCAGGTCACAGTCCCTCAAACTGTTGGAGGGCAGGGTTATAATTTGAAAAAAACATGAATGAATACCTATGCACACTGCACATATCTTATTTGTAGTTCAAAAAACACTTTAAAACAATACAATAATTAAAATGAAGAACAATTTTAACAAATATAAGCCTATTAGTATTTCAATGAGAAGGGTGGGCCTGCTTTTGGCTGATGAGATATGATAGTTGTTGTTGTTGTGTGCTTTCAAGTCATTTCAGACTTAGGTTGAACCTGAGCAAGGGCCAGGTAAATGACCTTGCAGGGCCGCATCCGGCCCCCGGGCCTTAGTTTGAGGACCCCTACCCTATGATATCCAAAGTATCTATCTATCTATCTATCTATCTATCTATCTATCTATCTATCTGGAGTTACACTTAAGAATGTACCTGTTTCAGCTTACATACAAATTGAACTTAAGAAGAAACCTATAGAACCTGTCTTGTTTGTAACATGGGGACTGCCTGTATAGGCTTGCACTGGTAGACTGCAATCTTGCACAACATGGTGGGGTACAATTTTTTCCTTATTCATAGCTATGTAGATAGGGCTGAAGTTGGTATGACCAGAGTCAATTGTAGATGGAGTTATTCCTCCTCTTCTAACACCTGCAAGCACAATTTCTTCTTATCGAGCTGCTAGAAGGACAAATTGTCTTTCTAGGCATAATGGCTTCTGGCGGATTCCATGTCCTTGGAGTAGTGAATTTGCTAAGATCTTTAGTCCAAACTTTAATGGATCTATCCAAGGTGCTGATCCTATTTGGAAATTAGAATTCTGAACCTTAGATATCTCCGTTACAAGTTCCAACTGAAACAGAATGAATTGACATAATTCCCCCACATACATGTAAACCACTGGCTAATTTGGATCCCTGCAGACCAGAAAAGACTGATCACTTGGAGAAGGCATTTGAAATAATGTCAAACTGAAGCATGCCCAGATAATGATGACCAAAATGGTAAAAGGTATGGAAGGCAAGTCCTAAGAGGTGTGACATGGGTATGTTTAGCTTGGAAAAGAGAAGGTAGAGAGAGGACATGTTAGATATATTTCAATATTTTAAAGGACGGCAGGTTGTTTTCTGCTACTCTGGAGACTAGGACACAGAGCAATGGATTCAAACAGGAAAAGAGATTCCACCTAAACAATAGGAAGAACTTCTTGACAGACTATTTGAAATACCGCATCTCCATATACAAACCAACACGAGCACTGCTGTCGACTGAGGGGCCCTCCTCTTGGTCCCACCCTCATCTCAATTGTGGCTGGTGGGAATGAGAAAGAGGGCCTTCTGCGTGACCGCTCCCCACCTCTGGAACTCCCTCCCTAAGTTTATTTATTGATTTATTTCCTATATTTTTACCCCGCCCTTCTCACCCCGAGGGGGCACTCAGGGTGGCCTCACAAGAGCACCATAGAATGCCAATATCATAAGACATTAAAATATTAAAAATAATAATTAAACAATTGATTAAAACACACCTGTTAAAATCAGAATCCAAAATCCAGAATCCAAAGTCCAGCCCTAAAGAATTAAAAATGGCTCCCCCCCCCCCCTTTAAAAAGCTATTAAAAACACATCTATGCAATTTAGCTTATGGAGAGGAGGAGGATTAAGTGTGTCTATATGCACTTTCGCCTAGCTGCTAATTTCCACCATGTTAATCTGTGGCTCACCATCCCCCTTCCAACAATTTTAGCCTAATCTTAGAGCTTTTAATGAGATTTTTAAGGACTTAAGAGGTTTGCAATTATGTGTATTATGTTACATATGTTTGACTTAAGTTGTTTTAGAATTTATTCAGTTGTTTTTGGTTTGTTTATATAATATTGTTGGCACTGAATGTTTACCACTGTCTGTTTTCTTGTGATCTGCCCTGAGTCCCTTCGGGGAGATAGGACCGGCTATAAATAAAGTTTCATTCATTTATTCATTCATTCAATGACAGTAAGCACTTTTCTGCAGTGGAAAATGCTGCCCCAGCGTGTGATGGAGCCTCCTTCTTGTGTTTAAAGAGAGGCTGGATGGCCATCTGTCAGGAGTGCTTTGATTGTGTATAGCAGGGAGTTGGACTGTATGGCCCTTGGGGTTTTCCCAACTCTATGAAAATGACGTTGAATAGCTGCCACATTCTTTTGATGCACACTTTATTGGGAGGAAGTCTCAATAGATATCTCAGTGGTACAATGAAACAATGTTATGAACTTTCCTTCACCAAGATGAAGAAGTAGAGAAGGGAAAAGCAATCCTGTTCTCCTCATTCAAGGTTTACAGTTTTGTTGGTTCCCAGTCCCATGCCAGCTTGGTCAGACATAGGTTGACTTTTTGAGGAAACTCGGGAGTATATTTTTAGGAGGCTCCAGGAGGAAGGGGGACTCTATGGCATGCTTGCCTTCTGCTTTCATAACGCTGCACTCGTATGTCTATTTTCTCGTGTTTGCTTTCCTTACACTACCTTACAAATGGTGGCATAAAATTGGTTTTAATAACAACAGTTGCTTCCCCCGCTGAATTTCACAGTCCTTGTGTGTGTTTATTGCAAAGCTTTCTCAAGTGGAACATGCTTGCTTCTTTCTTTTTTTTAAAAAAAAAAACCCAGAGACCTGAAGCTGGAAAGCTGTCCTGTGGATATTACTGTGATGCCATCCTTGATAGAGCTTAAAATTGGTGAAGACTGCAAGGCGCTGAACCTTCCAGGAGAGGTCAGGATTGTTCCTTCTTCCTGCCGTGGACTGCAGTATGTGCCCGGAGACGGCTTACATATGCGATTTCTAGTTCAAGCAAGTTTAAATTCAAGTAAGAAAGTTGGCTGGCATTTCGTGTGTGCTTTTTGTAAAGCAAGCAGGTCAAACTGTAGAATTAAGTACATTTTCCAGAAACTTTACAATTCACTTGAGCAGTATAGGATTGAGGAAGGTTTACCTTTTAGCTGTGAGATATCTTTCAATTCTGATTGCTTTCTTGTTTCTATGTTATCTCTAAATTTTCATTAAGCCCAACATGGTTTTTATTGGATTACTCTATACTGAGCTTATTGATACCAAAAGTTGCTATTAATCTGGGTTTCCCCTGCAAAAGCAATAATACTGAAACATAAAACAAGGTTTTCATATCTCTACTCTTACAGTTTTTGAGACTCTGAGCTGTAGCTCTGTGCTCTGACACTCCTTTAAAAAGTTCCAGGAATTTTGCTGTTCAGGTTATTTTTTCACTTTAGCACGCATCTTTGCTTTTACTTAGTTGCAGTGAATGCCCACTGTGAGACTTATGGCTCCTCCGTGAGACTAAACCCCATTAAGCCCAGTGGGTATTATTTAGAAGTCAAAATGTATACGTTTGCATAGCAAGTTGGATGAAGTGTTGATCATGGAATGGAATGGAAATTTTTCCCAATACACTTTACCAATGGACAGTGTTTAGTGATGCTTTTAAAAATAAATTTGGCAAAAATACCTTATTGTTGTTGTATTGGAGTTACGCATATTTTGCCAGATGCCTAGGAATCAGATTATTTTTGTTAACAGTCTATATATTGTCGAAGGATATCATGGTCAGAATCACTAGGTAGTTATGGATTTTCTGGGCTGTATGGCCATGTTCCAGAAGCATTCTCTCCTGATATTTCACCCACATCTATGGGAGGCATCCTCAGTGGTTGAGGGGTCTATTGGAAACTAGGCAAGTGGGGTTTATATATCCGTGGAGAAAAAAGCTCTTGTCTGCTTGAGGCAAGTGTGAATGTTGCAAATAATAACAACAATAACAACAACAACAACTTTATTCTTATATCCCGCCACCATCTCCCGGAAAGGACTTGGGGCAGCTTACAAGGGTGATACACAAAATACAGATTAAAACCCACACAATAAAAACAACAACATCAAATAACATCAATCACAGTACACAAATTAAAAACAGTATAATGGTGGAAAGATTAAATGCTGTGTGCGAGGAGAATAGGGAATGTGCAATCGTTCCTGGGTAGAGCCAGAGAAAGTGCAAGATGGCCATTAAATGCTAATCGAGGTTGTCATTTGCGATATTCACACTTGCCTCAAGCAGACAAGAGTTCTTTCTCCCATCCTGGACATTCCACAGATATATAAACCCCATGTGCCTAGTTTCTAACAGACCTCACAACCTCTGAGGATGCCTGCCATTGATGTGGGAAAACATCAGGAGAGAATGCTTCTGGAACATGGCCATACTGCCTGGAAAACTCACAGCAATATTATATTAACACTGGGATTTGGACTATGGGGACTTGTAGGTGCTGATGGTCTACAGTTCCCATCCTCTCTTCCCATTGACTGTGCTAGCTTTGGCTGATGGGAGGTGCAGTATCAGCAAGATCTAGTGTGTATCCCAAACCTATCAGCTAAAATTTCAGTGTAGCCTAGCACTGTTTTTTCTATAGTGGTCAATAAGAGTTCATAGACAAAACAAGAAGGGCAGTTCATATCTCATTTTAGCTTTGACCTTACCAGAACTCCCCTTTTTATACAATTTTAGAACTATGATCCAATTTTAACTTTCATGGCAACATCTTTATGCTGTTTCAAGTCTCCTTTGTGGAGAGAAAAAGCGGGGAATAAACAACATAATGATAATATTACTAACCTTATGAAATTCTGGGATTTGCAGTTGGGGAATATTTAGAATTCTTGACCAGATAGCTCCAGTTCTAAACTTAACTACATGTTCTGGGACTCCATAGGATGCAAACTTAACAATTAAAATAAAATCATAGCACAAATGGTGTAGTGTGAGCATTATTTTGATTATCATTATTCTGTTAGTTTTAGGCTTCTGTGTATGCAATATCAAGATTCATAATAATATGAATTGGTGGCACAGTGGGTTAACCATTGACCCGCTGAACTTGCTGACTGAAATGTCAGCAGTTTGAAAATGGGGAGTGGGGTGAGCTCTCGCTATTAGCCCTAGCTTCTGCCAACCTAGCAGTTCAAAAACATGCAAATATGAGTAGATCAGTAGGTAATGCCATGGTGAGAAGGTAACAGTGCTCCATGCAGTCATGCTGGCCACATGACCTTGGAGGTGTCTATGGACAATGCCGGCTCTTCGGCTTAGGAATGGAGATGATCACCAACCCCCAAAGTTGGACATGACTAGACTTAATGTCAGGGGAAACCTTTACCTTTTTATCTACAGGAAATGTATCTATGTTTACTTTAGTCAATTGTAGGTTACATTGTTATTGAGATAATGTATCACTTATGGTCGAATTTTCAAACTAAGCTCTCTCTATATATTATTATTTGCATGATAATGCCATAGTAATATAGATTGCCTTTTCAAGGTGAATTTAATGTTGATTTTCTTTTTTAATACCTTCCAGAAATGCTAACAGCTGTTGGTGACAATCCTAAAGCTAAAAAGAGTTGCACTTTTTATTGCCAGATTTGTGGCGAGAGTATAATAAGGGATTGGTAAGTGTCAAGATTTTTATATTATGGCTTTTCTGTGGATGGGGTAGATTTGAAAAGGATTTGAGGAATTCTACAAAGTGTGACGACTGCTTTGGTGAGGTTTTTGCTCCTGAAATCTTAGTTTATATTGGCATAACATAGATGTTGAGGTGAGAATACAAATCTTTGGACAAGGGACTGGTTCTTCTATTCAGAGAATTAAATTTTGGCACCTTGTTAACTCCATATCCAATATAAATAGTAATCCCCCAAACCCTTATTTTCATTCTTTGTTTTCATTTCACTTTGGTTTTTTTTTTAATTGAGTCTTCAGGCTAAAGAGCAGGATATTAAAATTTCCTAATAAATAAATCACAAGATCCAGCTTGAAGAACACTTCAAGTTAACTCACTGTTTTCTTATTCTTTTTTTAAAGTCGATTCTAAGGAGGATATTTAATTTCATTTATTTATCAACAGCATTAATATGCTGTACCATAACTAGACTTATCTAGATGGCTATTTTGAATTTTTAATAATTAATTAACAAGGTGACCTGAATTTTGTTTGTTTAGTGTTATCATTTTCTGTAAGACTTTTAGTTACTCCGTAGCAAAAGGGGTTTGTCCCTTCAACCCCATTTTTCTCGCTGGCAGGCCATCAAAGATTTTCTATAATTGGAAGCTAAAGAGAATTTCTGGCAATATGGGGTTTGGTTACAAAACTGACTCCTTTTTTTTCCTGCCGCAAAGGACTGAAAAATAGTGTGCTTGTTGAAGCTACACAATATTTGGCTGAAAAGCTGTGTTCAGTCTCACGTTGTGCAGACCTCTGATGCATGACACACAGGGGGAAATGCTGCTCTTGCTGTTCACTTGCTTTCAGAGAACTGGGTAGAAAATGGCATTTAAATTAATTTTCCTCTGCTAACTTTCCTGGCATTGACCCTTTCCCATTAATCCCAAATATCACTGCACATTTGCTTTATAGGTATGCTGAAAAATGGAACACGGAAGAACCCATCTGTTTAAGTTTCCGTTTATTATGTTACATATTGGGCCGACTATTAATTTTCTTGCATGCATGGAAGATTTAATACTATGAGCTGTGAAAATGTTTTGTTCTAACTTCTAGCTCAGCCGCAAGACTAAGCTTTGTTTTTCTTTCTTTGTTCCGAAATGGATTTGTATGTGTTTTGCTTTGCAAAATGTCAACGTACAATAGTCTTGTAGGACTAGCAGGTGAGTTGATTAAACAAAAGGCATAAGGACTAGAGATGTGGGTCTTCTTTAGAAAAGATTTATAGCAGCAGAACGCATAACAGACTTTTCTAGTCTGGTTTTTCTCATGGATGTTTGCAAGGCATCAATCCAGACTGTGGTCATAAAGGAGAAAGTTTTTCCAAAAGCTGCTGAGTTTTTCTTACTGAATATCCAGCAAGTAATAAGCCTCTCACCAGGCTCAGCATGGCATCCAAGATTTTATATCAAGCCACTCTATACTGGGAATGATATTTCGTCCATGTGAAAGGAGTATTAACTCAACCTAAGGATTTGTTTTTGTAGAAACCGCCCTTTTTGTTCATCCTTGTTCATTACTAGTCCTAATTTATTCTGAAATATTACATTGCACAGCTTGCTGTAGTCTGTGCTGGACACTGGAAGTCTGTCTTGATTAGTTTTGCCTTTTGTTGTTGTATGCTTTCAAGTAATTACGATGACTCTAAAGCAGGACGTGAAACAGATGGGTCTTGTTTGATTTTTCCCCCTATTTGGGAATGTGGAGTGTGGCACTGCGGTCTCCCTAACCCACAAAATATGCCTACCCTCAGTGTAATGGAAATGGTGAAATCAACTCCTGTTTCTCTACTGAAACAACTGCCTATTGCATAGCTTAAGTAAGTGGTCTTTATTGTAACATCCAACTCATCCCTTTTCATCTTTTAAGGACCTTTCTCCGAGTCCTTTCCCTTCCCAACGAGGACTGGAGTGACTTGGTGGATGAGTGGTGTTGTCATCCCAACCCTTTCACAGACAACATGTTTCAGCCAAAGAATAATGACTGTTTTCTGGGACACAACTACTTCCTGATTAATCCAGAAAGTGAGTCACCTGAGCCAGGACTTGAAATCTGTCATTCAGAATCTCAGTGTGCGACTTCTAAAAGCAGCAATTCACCCTTGGTAAGTATGCTGGGCAACCGGTTACTCATAGGCCTAAATAGAAATTGGATTTTGTTTTGTAACATTGATAGAACCCACACTTTGAATGCATAAGGATTCAGGTCCTTTCTTTGATACAGGCTGAGTATCCCTTATCCAAAATGTTTGGGGCTAAAATTGTTTTCGTCTTTGGATTTTTTTCTTTGTATTTACATATATGTACATCATGAAATTTCTAGGAGACAGGACCTACATTTAGGTATGAAATTAATTAAGGTTTCATATATGCCTTACACATATTGTCTGAAAGTAATTGTATATACTGTTTTTAAATAATTTTGTGCCTGAAAGGCAGTGCATTGAGTACACTGAACCATCAGAAAGCAAAAGTGTCAGCCACCCATCTGCAAAATTCTGACTAAAATATGCTCAATCTGTATAAAGGTAAAGGTTTCCCTTGACATTAAGTCTACTCGTATCCAACTTGGGGGTTAGTGCTCATCCCATTTCTAAGAGCCGACATTGTCCATAGATGCCTCCTAGATCATGTGGCCAGCATGACTGCATGGAGCACCATTATCTTCCTGCAGAAGCAGTACCTATTGATCTACTCACATTTGCATGTTTTCAAACTGCTAGGTTGGCAGAAGTTGGGGCTAACAGCAGAAGCTCACCCTGCTCCCCAGATTCAAACCACCAACCTTTCAGTCAGCAAGTTCAGCAGCTCAGCAGTTTAACCCACTGCACCACCAGTTAAAATGATTCAGGATCCTAAACCTTTAGATGTTGTTGAACTTTTAATGCCCAGCAGTCCCAGCCAGCATAATGGTGGGACCAGTAGTCTCATCTAGAGGGCCACAGGTTTCTCCCCTGGGAGGTAAAAGGATCAGAGATAGGTCTCTTAGGAGATCTTGGAAACCTACTGCCAGTCAAAAGTGATGGTGCTGATTGTTTGGAGGGGTGGGTGGGGTGGTATCTGGATCTACCAGCAGTGCTGAGTGATTTGCAGTGCATTTGCTAAGTTTCTGACTCCTCAATACTCCCTTGTTCCAAATTATATTTCCAACATGAAAAAGCTTGTGATAACAATGAGCAATTGTTTCATTGGAAGAACTGTAAGCTCAGTTCAGGACTGGTACTGTTCTTCCTAAAGCCCACAAATCCACTAATGGTGAGATATGCTTTAGTGAACTTACGTTTCCAGAATGTTTGGAGGCCTCAATTGATCCAAAGAGCTGCAGCCAGATTATTAACCGGGGCTGGCTATATCTGCCTTGATTTCAACAGCTCCATTGGTTACCAGTTTCCAGGAACAAGTCAAAATGCTGGTTATGACCTACAAGCCCCTATACAGCTCTATAATCTTTGGAGGTGGCCCTTCTCTTATCCAACTGGTCTTTCAGACACGTTTGGTGGGACAAGGAAGAAGGGCCTTCTTGGTGGCTGCTCCCAGGTCTTCCTTCCTAAGAGAGGCCTAGAGTGGCTCACTCCATGGTATTCTTTTAAGAGCAGGAAGGAGCCCCCAGTGGCGCAGTGAGTTAAACCCTTGTGCTGAGAGGACTGAAGACCGACAGGTCGGAGGTTCGAATCTGAGGAGAGCACAGATGAGCTCCCTCTGTCAGCTCCAGCTCCCCATACAGGGACATGAGAGAAGCCTCCCATAAGGATGGTAAAACAGCAAAACATCTGGGTGCCCCCTGGGCAACATCTTTGCAGATGGCCAATTCTCTCACAACAGGAGCAGAATTTCAATTTAAAGCAGGTAGCTCCTCAGCCTGTTTTTGGAAATGTACAGAGAAAGAGACCTCACCATTTCTTTAGGCAATTGATTCAATTGCCAAACTGCTCTTACTGTCAGAACGTTACTTCTAACGTTCACATGAAATCAGGGAATATTGACCTAGCATCATATACACACTATGTGGATATCTGCAAAGGTAGGGCTTACATGCTTGGCATTCATAGTCCTCTAACTTGTGGAAATCTATATGCACACATAACTGTAATTAAGAATTTGATCTTGGTTTGTGGGGCAATCTATCAGTATAAGAAAATCAGATTTCTCAAATGTGTGGCTCTTAAGACAAAATAAACAAACCCTGTTCTTTAAAGCTTCTTTCCTGCTTTCTCTTTAAGACGTGCTACAGTGATAGGCATTCGTTCCTTTTTAAAAAACTCTTCTAGAATGGCTCCATCCTTTTTGAGCTTCTGTCGGACAGCTAAAGTAGTGCTGTTCCATATAGATTTTAATGTTTAAATCAACTTTTAACTGTTTTTTTAAATACCAGTTTAACATTGTTTTGAATGTTTGGAAAGCCTTTAACAAGTATTTTAAGGTTTTCTAAAAAAAATTAAAATATTTGTAGGTACTGTTCCATTATCCAGGCGGAGGCTACTAGGGCAGTGTTTCTCAAACTGGGGGTAGGGACCCCTGTGGGAGATCACGAGGAGGGTGTCAGATGGGTCACCAGAGACCATCAGAAAACACAGTATTGGTCATGGGAGTTCTGTGTGGGAAGTTTGGCCCAATTCTATCATTGGTGGGGTTCAGAATGCTCTTTGATTGTAGGTCTGTTTTCCCCAAACTCCACCAGTGTTCACATTTGGACATATTGAATATTCATGCCAGGTTTGGTCCAGATCCATCATTGTTTGAGTTCACAGTGCTTTCTGGATGTAGGTGAACTACAACTCCAAAACTCAAGGCCAGTGCCCACCAAACCGTTCCATTATTTTTTGATGATCATGGGAGTTCTGTGTGTCAAGTTTGGTTCAATTCCATCGTTGGTGGAGCTCTTTGATTGCAGGTGAACTATAAATCCCAGTGACTACAACTCCCAAATGACACAATCCACCCTAATACCGCCCGTATTCAAATTTGGGCATATCTGGTCTTTGTGCCAAATTTGGTCCATTGAAAGAAAATACATCCTGTATATCAGATATTTACATAATGATTCATAACAGTAACAAAATTACAGTTATGAAGTAGCAATGAAAATAATGTTATGGCTGGGGGTCACCACAACATGAGGAACTTGATATTAGGAAGGTTGAGAAACACTGCACTAGGGGGTGCTAGAGAGAGAAGGGTAGTCCATTTTAGAGGTGGTGATTTGCAGGAAAAAAATCATTTCTTCCATTTCCTCTCCCCTCTTTCTATATCATAAACAAGGGTTTTTTCCACGATGGGGACATGGGTTGGGGAATAACAAGAAAACGGGGAAATGGTCTTCCTACTTCAACCCCGTTCCCCCATTAAATGGACTATCATTCTCTCTCTAGCGCACCCTAGTGGCCTCCACCTGGATAATGGTACAGTACCTATTTGTATTATTGTAACTGCTTTTATTTGCTAATAGCCTCCAGAGCCTTGGTGGCCTGTGAGGCATGATATAATTCTTTCAAATACAAAGTGAAGTGAGCTGGTGTTCTTTATGAGGCCACGTAACACCAATTCCTCGCTTCTTCCCAAGGATTGCCTTTTGCCACAGTTCTGATGAATGGTTTCAAGGTTCCATTAAACAAAGTGGATCCATCAAGCTTGAAATCTGTTCACCCTAGCCTTGAAGGAGCAGCTATCTGGCTCAGGGTCAAGTAACTTTATATATGCTTGTGTGTTTGTAAGTTCACGTGGCCTGTATCCAGTGCTGTTACAGAAGATGTAAGAAATTCTTTAGGATGATTCCAATTGCCTTCTTTGCCTCTTGAAATGCATCTTGGAAATAACCACTTTCTTCTGGAAATAGGGGTGGAACTAGACTAAGAATGAGATGGAGGCAAATGGGGAAAAAGGCGATATGGGGAGCTGAAATGTTTTTTAAAAATAATTGTCAGCCCTAAAATGGGTTTGTAAAGCAGTTGTCCATAGTCGAACCAAAGATTACTGTAGATTCAAGTGCTAGCTAAAAGCAACCCTGTTTAGAGCTGAAAGGACAAGCAGCTTGTGTTTCCTCACTCCTCACACAATTGTCATTATTTATGTAGTGTTTGGAAGTCAGTTGTCTCTTGTAGTACGCTTGGGAAGAGTTGGATACATTAATCACGTACTTATTGTATATCAGTCAGAAATGCAACATGTGAAACAGCTCTTTTAGAGAACACTATGAACTGATCATCTATATCATCTGAAACAATACTTTTTAATAGGCATGTTTTTCTTGCTGTCTTGAGACTCCGCAAGTGATAAGTCACTAAAAAATGAGTTGTTGAGCAAAGTATTTGTATCTGTGAGTCCCCTGAATCAATCCTGAATTTAACTGAAACCGCCTATCTTCACTCAGCTTCCAAAATGGTAAAAGACTCTGAATCATCCTTTAACACAATCTTTAAACACCCTGAGGTCAGACACCATTTTAGTCATTCTCTCTTGGGGCAAATATTTCCTTCCAAACAATATCAAGGACCCTTTGGAGCAGAAGAGCACAGAGATATTAAGAGAGTGTAGATCGCCGGCAGCTGAAAGTTGTCACACAAGATGCATTGATTTAATTTGGGTGGCAAAAAGCACACCCAATTTTGTTCAAAACTGGAAGGAACTCAGGAATTGTCATAAAAGTCAAGCAGGAACTCAGCCTGCTTGACTTTTATGCCATTATAGGTACATTTAACTGGAGTGGGGGAAATGAAAGGTGGGATATGATACACACACACACACACACACACACACACATGATTTTAAACTGTTTTAATTTTTTTAGAACTCTATTTATGTATTTGCAATTGTACATATCCTATGGCTCCATATAGTTGCCTACTTGTAAGCCACCTTGAGTCCCCTTCAGCATAGAGAAAGGCGGGGTAGAAATGCAACCCATAAATAAATAAATAAATAAATAAATAAATAAATAAATAAATAAATACAAAGGAAATCAAATAAATAAATAGATTTCATTTTTCATTTAGTTATATGCGCTCCCTTGCATCCCAACTTTCTTCCAAACCTAAAACTCAAGATAGCTTACAACATGATAGACTATTAGAATACAGTTGAATTAAAAGTAATATAAAAAGACAGTGCTGAAAGCACAAGTTACCAAAATTGTGTAACTTCCTACTGCATAGCATAGTATTGGTTTTCAGTTATAGTCCTCATAATTTCTGCTCAACCTTGAAGCTCACTGGATGATTTTGGGTTAATCCAGTAACAGTTGCTGACTTCCACATCTGTGGGTTGGTAAATTCAGGTTTTACTACACACTTTAAAAGAGCTGTCCAAGGTACTAAAGCCAGTCCTGAAATCCTTGTATAAGGGCAGATTGAATATCCTTATCCAAAATGCTTGGGATCAGAGTATTGTTAGATTTTCTTTTTTTTCTTTCAGATTTTGGAATATTTGCACATACATACTGAAATATTTTGCAGAGAGAATCCAAGTCTAATTTTATACACAATATTTTAATACTTCTATGCATAAAACAATATTTGTTTTGAGAAAGCAAAGATGTCACTAACTCAGCCAGCCATGTGGATATTTCTGGATTTTGAAGAATTTTAGATTTTGGTGTAAGGGATACTCAATCTGTATCTTTTCATATTCCCTCCATATGTGTAAAGTTGTCTAAAGTAAAAGTAAAGGTTTTCCCTTGGCATTAAGTCTAGTCGTGTCCGACTCTGGGGGGTGATGATCATCTCCATTTCTAAACCGAAGAGCCGGCATTGTCCGTAGATGCCTCCTAGGTCATGTGGCTGGAATGACTGCATAGAGCAGTGATTCAACTCCCAGAAATCCTAGCAGCTGGTAAACTGGCTGGGATTTCTGGGAGTTGTAGGCCAAAAACATCTGGTTGAGAACCACTGGCGTAGAGTGCTGTTAGTTTCCCACCGAAGCATTACCTATTGATCTACTCACAATTGCATGTTTTCAAACTTCTAGGTTGGCAGAAACTGGGGCTAATAGCGGGAGCTCACCCTGCTCCCTGAATTCGAACCGCTGATCTTTCGGTCAGCAAGTTCAGCAGCTCAGTGGTTTAACCTGCCACAAGAGGCTCAAAGCTGTCTATAATTCTGATATTTTCTGTTGCATTTAGTAGTCCCTTTTCTGTTACTCATGTTAATGGCATTCATGTGAATCTCATCAGTTGTACATAACAAACAATTATACCCCAGTTTTCCCAGCGCCACCCTATTTTGATAAACTTTTACCTGCAAAGAAATCTTTATAAACTGATTTTACAATGTATTTAACAATTGGACACTATCTTTCTGTACAGAACAGTCTGTGGCAGACTTACCCTGAGTAGGACTGGGTGCAATGGTTTATAAAGGTTGTTTGGAATGATAATTTTTGGGTTTCCTGTGTTATCTTGATTAGGAATTATCATGGCTGGTCATAGGAATGAAGTCATTTGTTTTAGGATGCAAAGTAATGCAATGAGAAAATTGTCTTGTAGCTCTAATTCTTTGTTTAGATGGTGGCATGATTTATTTTATAGGGAGCATTTCCCTTCTGTAAAGAGATGAGACACTGAAATGTTATTTCTTTTCCCTGCAGAATTCAGAGACAAATAGCAGAGTAATTTGCAAGCGCTGCAAAACTCTGCTGGGAGAGGTTATGCCCTCAGGTATGGAGTATGCAAATAACGTTTTCATAGGCTGTTTAGGTCATCCTAACAAGAGGGGGTGTGGTGTGGTATGATGTCTTTTTTAAAAACAAGACTGATTAAAATATTGTTATTTATGACCTAGAATCTCTTTGTTTCTTCTGTTTTCCTCCCCTATATCCCAATATATAGCTGGGTACTTGTTTTAAATACAGCATGACCCCCATAACCATAGGACCTGTTTTTTATTTGTCTACATCCATTAAATTATATCCTCTCAATTAATAAATATAATAATAAATGTAATAATAAATATAATAATAATATATTTATTTATACCCTGTTTTATCTCCCTGAATGGGACTCAAAGCAGCTTGTCATAAAAGCATTGGTATACAATTTTCGGTCTTCTAGTGTGACCCTATGATATTCCTGGGTCAGAAGTTGTTAGTTTCAATAGGCTTTGCTATTATTTATAGTTTTACATGTCCACATCAAGTCTGAGAACGTATCCCCTGTGAACATGGGGGGTGGTACTATGTAGTTTAATGAAGAATCCACAAATCATGTCTGCATTTAGTAATCAAAGGTGCCTCTGAATATATCGTTATCATTGGTTTCCATCAAGTAGACTTCAACTCATGTTGACCCTATGAATGAGAGATCTCCACGTTCTGTTTAAAATCATGGGTTATGGCTTCCTTGATTGAATCAGTCTACTCATAGTGCAGTCCCCCTCTTTTCTTATAACCTTTTGCTATTTATCTTTCCTTGTGAGCCATGTCATCTCATGATATGTCCAAAGTACAGGACCCTCAGTTTGCTTCTGGGAGGTTTAGGCTTGATTTGGTCTAAGATCCATTCATTTGTCCTTTTAGCAGTCTATAGCAACCACATGACTTTTCTCCAGCAACACATTTCAAATGAGATTATTTTCTTACAGCCTTTTTCGTTCTCACTGATTTTTCATCATGCAAGTGATGTTAGCATGCAGATTGTGCTGTCAGTCATAAACCTAAATCACTTACAAGCCTTTTTATGAAAACAAAATACTGCCCTCACTTCTCTGACAAGTCCCTACACACTACAGGAAGCAACTTTTTAAAAACCAAGGATGTAAAAAAATAAAAGACTCAGTCGTTTCTTCTCTTGAAGCAAACAAAATGTTGTCTGTCTCCTAGATTATTCTTTCTTCTGTGTAGTTCCCTTTTACAACCACTTCATATCTGAGTTTCATTACAGTGAGAGCTTGGTATCCACTGGGATTTGATTCCATAACCTCCCATGGAGAGTCCTGTGGATATTCAAGTTGTATTATATACCATGATGTAATACAGGGGTCCTCAAACTAAGGCCCGGGGGCGGGATGCGGCCCTCCAAGGTCATTTCCCCGGCCCTCGCTCAGGGTCAACCTAAGTCTGAAATGACTTGAAAGCACACAACAACAACAATAATCTTATCTCATCAGCCAAAAGCAGGCCCACACTTCCCATTGAAATACTAATAGGCTTATATTTATTGGAATTGTTCTTCATTTTAATTATTGTATTGTTTTAAAGTGTTTTTTGCACTACAAGTAAGATATGTGCAGTGTGCAAAGAAATCCATTCATGTTTTTTTTTTCAAATTATAATCCGGCCCTCCAACAGTTTGAGGGACTGTGACCTGGCCCTCTGTTTAAAAGGTTTGTGGACCCCTGTATTAGATGTTCTTATCGGGTATTAGGACAAATGAGCTCTATACATTATGTGGAATCCACAGAATCCACTCACCCCCACCCCAATTCATTTGGTCTGTTGAGATGGGCCCTGATTTGGTCTATTTCTCTCACGTATCAGATGAGATAGTTGCAAATTGGAATATGAAATGCAAAGAAACATAGAAAGATAATGGTTCTCTGCCATCTGCTCAGTTAAACTGACTGGGGCTGTATTAACCAAGGCGGTGGGGTACTGTATGTTGCCAAGCCATGGCCCACTTGTTTCACTTGTGTGTCCTAAAAATGTCAGCTTACAGGTGTATGAAGGCACCTGAGGCTGTTCACTGGAAATTCTGGTGTGTGAAAGAAAGGTTAATGTGAACACAACTCTAACTGGTTAAGATTAGGAACCTGTGCTAAATCAAAACCCAGCCCAAGTCTCTTGGAAATTAATTAGTAGCCCTAAATGAGCCAATGATGCGTAGAGGTTTTCGTGCTGGACTATGGCTCTTGAAACTAGGGTTTGAATCCCCATTTGGCTGTGGAAACCTACCGAGTGATTCTGGACATACCCCTAGCCCCAGAAAACCCTGTATTATGCTCTCCTTAGGGCTGAAACAAATTGAAGGCCCACAACAACAAACTGGAAGGGTTATCATGTTTCAGACTTAAATATTCTCCCTATTTGTACTTCATTGTGGTATTAGATCTAGTTTCTGTGTGTTTGTAGCCTGTTTTTTGTCATAAGTCAAGAAAGATTTCAGTTGTGTGATTCGGTATATATTAATTAAGACAAGATCAACTCTTTTACTTTATTCCTAGGTGTCACAAAGTACTTTTTCACCGAATTGCTTGTTCAGCCGTCAGAAGACTGCTTCAACACAATACCAAGGTGTGAAAGGGTTCATTAGTTTCATATTAGAATGGCACTGTTCATTTGACATCTGAAGCCTGGTTGCATTTTTCTTTTATACATTTCATGAAATATTCAAATATTAACATTGTTTCCAGCAGTGTTTGCTGAATGGTCATTAAATGTATTTATTGCTTTTTCTGCCCTCTCTGCTGCAAAGCAATATAATTAGATTGTCGTATTGGTGACTAGAAGCGTGGGAGTCACAGGTCATCTGAATATTATGAATCATTTAGATGACTCATATGGCTGATTAAAAGATGCCCATTTCTTTGATGCCCATTGTCCAGCAACCACCAAGTTTTAAAGACAATGTATTTCTTTCCAGTGGGGGAAAATGTGCCTTTTATTCCTTGAAATGTTAAGTTCAGTGCGGGGGCCTGAGCTGTATCAGATTGTCTTTGTTTAATCTGCTTAGAGGGAGTGGGAGAGAAGATAGTATTCCGACCTCTGCTTTTTCTCTCTTTCACTCAAGAGTCATGATAGACACACTCTTTATTGGATACATACACTGGAAACACAAACTGGTTTGTAACTCATAATAAGTTTGGGTTCCATAGGAACAGTGTTCCTTGTGAGTTGTTCCTGAACAGTTTTCCGGGAAGCCCTATCTGTTTCTTCTTCCTGCAAGTGGAAGCAACTGAGGGTGCATCTAAACTGTAGAACAGTGGTTTTCAGTCTGTGGTCCATGGACCACCAGTGGTCCACAAGAACTAAAATATGGTCTGCAGCCTCACCATTACTACACTGTTGAAATGAGAGCAGCTAGTCTTGCGAAACCCTCTTATAGTGCTGAGGATTATTAAACATGGTTTTCTGTGGGTGAGCTGATGGTGACTACTGGATGGCATATGTTCTGTATCAGAAACTAGAGCTTATGTGGTCTATCCAATGCAGTTTTCTGAATCAGCACCCCAAATAACCAAACCAAATCTACAGTTGACCAAAAACTTATTCGTAAACCTTTTGGTGCTAATGTTGGAGAGTGATCCCTAGCCAGAGTTGTCCCTGGTCAAAAAAGGTTGAGAACCACTGCTGTACAATTACTGCAGTTTTGCATTGTTTTAACTGCCATGGCTCAATGCTGTGGTATCATGGGAGTTGTAGTTTTACAAGGTTTTAAAACATTTATTGCCAAAGAATGCTGATGCTTCACCAAACTATGATGCCCAGGATTCAGTAACATTGAGCCAAGGTAGTCAAAGTGGCATCAAACTGTATTAATTCTGCAATGTAAATCAGGAGTTCACAGTATGACATTAGTAGGGGCTGAAATTAAAAAGGCTAAACCTCTTGGGCAGGGAGTTTTCAACACTTCACTTTCCAAGTAAAGGTATAATTAATTGTTATTATTCCGTGCCTTCAAGTTGTTTCCTACTTTGGGCAACCCTACAGCATCCTGTCATTGGATCCCAGATCTGGGATCTGGCTTCTCTTTCTCTCTCTTTCTTTCTCTGTTGGGATTCGGATCCCAAGCCCTCCAGTTGACTTCCCTCTCTTTCCGGAGAGTAGCGGCAAGGGGATGGGAGACGGGAGGAAGATGCCCTGTGTGCCAGGAGTAATGGGTAGCCACTGCCACCTCCTGTTCTTGGCATACAGGGCATCCTCCTGTCTCCCCATCCTCTCTCCAGGCAAAGGGGGGGGGACTAGATACAGATCCAGAATCCAGGCCTTCCAGCTGGTTTCCTCTCTCTTTCTGGAGGCACGGTGGCAAGGAGGTGGAGAGATGGGAGGAAGCTTTGTGTGCCAGAAGCATGGAGCTGGTGGTGGCGATAAACTTCGTTTCTCTGTACCCGCACCTTCTCTGCGGCCGCACCTTGTATGGGCCGCATCAGGCCTAAGGCAGGCCTGGTGTAGATGCACCCAAAACAAATCTTGGTCTTTTTACTGAAGGTGTGAGCAACTATGTCTTCCAAACATTTTGGACCTTCTGTCAACGTTGGTCTGCATAGACAAGGGTGAGGAAATTTTAGAGGGTGCACAAATACAGGAAGGGCCACATTTGATTCCTCCATTGTATCATACGCTGCCAAGCATGCTAGCTTGTTCCTGTCCTGGCAAACCTTAAAAATAATTATACACCCACGGTTTGTTGAAATCTGTCTTATTAGGAAAGAAACAAGCCTAGGTACCATCTCTCACAAAGTTCATTTGTCACACTATCAGATGCCTTGTTCTGAAGTTTGGATTTGTCCATTTCTGACTGGAGTGGTTTGCAGACTTACCAGATCACGACACTACGGTTCTGGTGTTCAATAATTATATTGTGTATATGTCAGTTTTTTATTGCTGTAATTCTATGGTTCTAAGACGCCATTAATTGTTAAATGCACACTGATCTCAGTACCATGAACAGTGTGTGTGTGTATGATAGAGAGAGATTGAGAGAAACACTATTTTTAGAGATACTTACATTGGCGGGAGGGCATATTAGAATTGAATAAATGTCAATTATATGCTACCCTTTCATATTTATTTGTACGCATGTTTCCCCCTCATGTTGGATGAGTCCAGCTTGCTCTAGGACTCTGTACCCCATATCCTTTAGCCATTGTAATTTCATGGGTATTCTGTTGCAGCAAAGAATGTTAGATTCCATACACATGCACAGGTTTGATAACTAACTACCCTGCTATCCATCAATGGGAGGTTGGTGTATAAGCCACATTTCCAGAATTTAAAGAATTTGGAGTCAGGAGTAAACCTAAACTTACAATCTTTCTACAGGAAAATCCACTCCCAACTACACAATTCACCTTCAGTGTGTTGCTTCTATTAAACAATAGAAATGATGTGATGTGTTGTTGGGCTTGGCCTCATGTAAGCCGCTCCGAGTCCCTTGGGGAGATGGTGGCGGGGTATAAATAAAGTTGTTATTATTATTATTATTATTATTATTATTATTATTATTATTATAAAAAATGCTTGCTCAAGCTCTACTTCAAATAACCCAGGAATCAACTGGTAGATCTGGATTTGTGCAGCCTAATTAGTGAACATAATCCATAGCCAAACTCACAATTTTATTGGAAGCATTGGTCCTACATATTCTTTCCCATATTCCTGCTACAAATAGCCATGCCAGTGGTTGCTACTCCCTTGAAAGCCGTCTTAACGTTTTTGCGGTATCCTTGTAACATCACTGTTTATGATATCTCAAAACAGAATTAATAACCCCCAACCTGAACATTCACATGCTGTTGTAGCAAGTCTTAGGGTTAATCAGTGGCAAATTATGCAAACTTAATGTTGCTTTAATTAATTTCTGCCATGAAACGTATAATTGCCAATTACAAGTTGATATCTAGCCATCTTTCCCTAGTCTGTGTAGCTCTGGGCTTCAATGAAAGCTTTCTCCTTTTTAATTGAAGGGTGGCTCTTAAATGAAACATTTCAGATGATCCAGTTTGAAGCTCGGGGAAATGTCCATATGCTGTGGCTGCCAGAGAATGCATCATGCTGTGATCAGCTTGTGATCAATATAGAGCAAATATATTTTCCTACTACAAACTCGTATGCTGTGTGTGTGCGTGTGTGATGTGAATTTCCCCCCACTTATTGTGAATCCAACATTCTGGACCTCCAGAAATATAGTGACAGGGAAAATAAAGGTGCACTAAGGGTGTTGGAAGGTATGCTATAGTTTATGTTCAAAAGATTTAGTGAAGACAAATATTGGAAGAGGTGCAAACTCTGTTGGAAATTGGATGGCTCTCTCTTTTTGCTTTGGTCTTAGTACACCCACACAGCAGGCTTGCATAATAATATGCCCAAGCTCTTTTTCATTAATCTAAGGCACTTTGCCTTGGACTTTCTGATTTATAGTACACAATTAGATTAGGTGTGGTGATTTATTATGTAGCAGGAAGAAAATGTGTGTGGGTTGGGTTTTTTTTATTACTGTGGAACAGAAGAGTACAATAAAGTGAGGAGAGCAAATTTGCCTGATTCTTGTAGTACCCAAAGTTCCGGCCTTTCTAATGGACATGAGTAAAGTTAACTGTGTTCTTTAAATACAATAAATTATATTTCTAATCTCCCAAAATTGGATGAATTGGATACAGTTGGATACAGTAACTCCTAGAGAGCCTCAGATGGCTGCACAGATGTAATGTTCGTATATAGGATTAACATAACTCAAAAGCCACTGGATGAATTGACACCAAATTCAGACATAGTACACATATCAGGCCAATGAGTGACTATCACTCATAAAAATACTGAAAAACACAGTGGAAGGGACTTAAAAAGCCACCCCCCCCAAAAAAAAAACATTACGACACATGCGCAAAACCACACACACACACATATGTGCACAAACACACATATATACACATATACACAAATATATATATACACAAATCACATATACACAGACTGGGCCACAGCAACGTGTGGCAGGGGACGGCTAATAGTTACTGAAAATGTTTTGGGAGACTGGAAGTCATGTTTAATCAGTAGGGTTTTTTTCTTGCTCTTTTGAGGATGGGGATGACAACGTTGGACAAGATGGGACTCCTGGGGTCTATTTGTGAGGAGGAATCATAGGGAGGAGGGAGGAGGCATGTTTTCTGCTGCCCTGGAGACTGGGATGCGGAACAATGGTTTCAAACTACAGGAAAGGAGATTCCACCTGTTCAGCAGTGGAACTCTCTGCCCCAGAGTGCGGTGGAGGCTCCTTCTTTGGAGGCTTTTAAACAGAGGCTGGATGGCCATCTGTTGGGGGTGCTTTGAATGCGATTTTCCTGCTTCTTGGCAGGGGGTTGGACTGGATGGCTCACGAGGTCTCTTCCAATTCTATGATTCTATTTTTCACCCACAAAATATTTGGATAATATTTGGGATACAAATAAATATAATAAATAAATAACAATATTATTTGTGTCCCACTTTTGTCTCTAGATTGAGATGCTTGGTGGATCACAACATTAGAAAACAGTGCAATTTAGAATCCACACCATACAAATATTAAAATAGAACTAAACAACTAATTAGTTAAAATCTCCTAAAACACTTAAAATTGTTAAAATACTCAGATACTTTTATGCTTGCTTCTTTTGCTTCTTTTGCTTGAACTTGTCTCTCTCACCGTATTTTTCTACATTGCTCACATATTTTACTGTGTCTGTGCTCTGTCAGCTAGTTCTAAATATTTAAGTTAAAAGTAGCTTTCAGGGGTAGAGATGGACTCAAAAATGAAAATATCTGTTATTTTGATGTGGACATTTACTGTGGGCAGTTGATATCAAACAATATTTTCTTTTCCTCCTCCAACCCCAAACAGGTCTCTCTTTGTACAGAGCGTTGTAGCCCAGTGCCTCGTGGAGCTTTCTTCAGCTAGGAGCACATTTAGATTCAGCATACAAGGGACTGATGGGGCAGTCTATATCCTGGTAAGTCTATAACATTTGGTTTTGGAACATAGATAACCTAGTAACTCCACTTCAAAGCTATCTGTCCAGTTTGATTGCTTTTGCTCTGTCCCTCTCCTTGCTAAATGGGTTTATTTTGTCATTCCATGACTTAGAGCACAATCCTGTGCATACCTGCTCAGAGGTAATAAGTACTGAATTTAAAGGAATTTTTACATGGAAATAAGTTCTATTGCACTGTAAGGAGACATTAATAATAATAACAACAACATCAACAACAACACTTGGGAAATGTCCGACGTGTGATCCAATACAACAGCCAGCAGAGTGATCTTATCTGCTGTTGATTCATCTTGTTGTGTTTCTAATAACAACAACAACAACTTTATTCTTATATCCCACCACCGTCTCCCCAAAGGGACTCTGGGCAGCTTACACAGCAAGTTCAGCAGCTCAGTGGTTTAACCCGCTGCACCGCCAGGGCCCCCCTAGTCTATTCTATCAATTGTAGAATATCTTTATGAGATTATTAGAGGTTTACTGAAGTTAAGTAGTGTTTCTGGGCATTTGTTCTTTAACAATTCAGTACCAGAAGCTGAAATAACAAGAGAAGCATAGGGATATGGTCCTACACAACATAATAATAACAACAACAACAACAACAACAACAGAAGAGCAGTTAAAAGTTATTTGATTTTTCATTGATTGATTGATTTGGTAGTCTATTTCATTTTTCTGCTGCCTTTATCTCTTAGAGTTCCCAAACAGTTAAAATATTCACAATAGAAACATTTTGCAACAATTAATACCACGTAAAACAGTATAATTGTTTAAATAAATAAAGTTTGACAATAATATTTTTATGCAAAACATAGAATATTTATATCTGAAATAAAACAACTGATCTGGGAAGCCTTTCATAAGTAAACTAAAACATTAGGGTTGTTGTAGGTTTTTTTGGGCTATATGGCCATGTTCTAGAGGCATTCTCTCCTGACGTTTCGCCTGCATCTATGGCAAGCATCCTCAGAGGTAGTGAGGTCTGTTGGAACTAGGAAAAAGGGTTTATATATCTGTGGAATGACCAGGGTGAGACAAAGGACTCTTGTCTGCTGGAGCTAGGTGTGAATGTTAATTACAACAGCACAACAACAGAGAGGAAACAAACAAGGACATCTAATCACCTCTCAACAAAAGTTTGCTCCAGGCACTGTCAGGCCATTATATGCTAATCAAGGTGATCAGTTGAAACATTCACACCTAGCTCCAGCAGACAAGAGTCCTTTGTCTCACCCTGGTCATTCCACAGATATATAAACCCTTTTCCTAGTTCCAACAGACCTCACTACCTCTGAGGATGCTTGCCATAGATGCAGGCGAAACATCAGGAGAGAATGCCTCTAGACCATGGCCATGCAGCCCGAAAAAACCTACAACAATCCAGTGATTCCGGCCATGAAAGCCTTCGACAATACATAAAACATTTGAAATGTTTAGAGACCATGTGCAAGTTGGGCACAATTTCATTCATAAACAAATCTTCACTTTTCTTGTGATTTCCATTTTGGGGTCCAAATCTATAGATCTATGTATAGATCATGAGCGTGGAAGGTAGGGTGGGGACTTAGCTGTTTAAGCCAGTTTATCCACTTTCCTCTTTTCTCTCACTCTTTTTCTGTATTACTTTGCCAACTCAAGCATTATTGCATTGTTTGCTGCAACCGAACTACAAAAAGCTGTGTTTATCCAGCCAGATAGAATATGAGAAGAAAAGGGGGCATATAAAGATGTGATTGTATCATGAATACAAATCAGGAAAAAAATCTAAATGTTTTTGAATTGCTGCCACAACGTAACTGCAAATTCATCCTCATTTGGGACGGAAAGGCATGCACCTGCCAAATTTTATTCTTCATAGGATTTGTTTCCATGGACACTTTACTGGATTGATACCTGCATGTCTAAAATACACTACACAGGAACAAATTGCATTGAATTGAGATTTTCTATCTTGGTAGAAATGCTCATATCTGGGGAAATAGGAATTTTAAAGTTTAATTTCTTTTCAATGCCATATGCGTATGCTTCTAGCTATGCAATCAAGAAAACAAATCAGTAAGTAAAATAAGAGTATCAATAGATTTCATGTGGATTGGGATCCATTTTTATGATGCAACTTGTAGGTCTGTCTTATTATCAACAGATTTGGCTACTAAATTCTGACACATTGCTGGTGGAGTCTTTGGGAAACTTAACATCCACTGAGGCTTTTTCATTGCTTGAACATGACCTATCGTCTGCTTCAAGGCCTTCAGAGATTCAGAAAGCTATTAAAGTTCTTTATCATCCCTGTGTAAAAAGCAGAAATAATGAGTAAGTATGAACTGTACTCAGGCTTTTTAAAGAGCACTTTAGTGATTTCTGGAGGGTTTTGTGCCAATTTTTCATGGTGGGAAATGTGTTTTTTTTTCCAGTTCAGTTTGTATTTACCATAAATGTATCAATGTATAAGTTAGCCTACAAAGCCCTACATGGTTCTGGTCCTACCTGTCTTCGTGACCACATCTTCTCCTATGAACTGGTGTGGGCTCCAAGATTCTCCAGGGAGGCCCTCCTGTCGGTCCCACCTCCCTCTTAAGTGTGGCTGGTGGAGATAGGGGAGAGGACCTTTCCTGTGGTGACCCCCTGGCTTTGGAACGGCCTCCCCAGGAACATTAGGCTAACTGCCACACTACAGTCTTTCTGAAAGGACCTGAAAACATGGCTCTTTAGGCAGGTTTTTGAAAATGACAAAGACATTAGTTTGTCTAGGGGACCAAATACATTGATATTGACATTGGCTCTTTAATGTATGAAATTCTGCTGTGGTTGGTATGTTATATTATCCATTTTAATAGTAGCTATTGTGTTTTCTTAATTATCCTTTTAAATTGAGGTTGTGCTTTTTATTTTTTGTAATGTGTTGTTTTATGTTAATTGCTATTATTGTTTAATTTGTTGATGCAATTTTACTTGTATTTTATGTTTATTATGGCACTATTATGTGCTGTTCTGTAAGCTGCCCCGAGTCCTTTTGGGAGATGGTGGCGGGATACAAATCAAATGATTACTATTACTATTATTATTAAGAGCTAAAGAGAAGGAGATCTGTTTATTTGCGGGGTTACAATTGGAGGGTATAAAATGAATGATACATCTATATTTTTGTATACATGTTTACATCTATATTTTTAGTTTTGAATGTGTTTTTATGGATTGTAACTGAATTTTTGAATACCAATGATACTTAATTCTGTTTTAATGCTTGTTTGTTTGTAGATTTTAAATTGTATTGAAATGCTGCTAATGTTAGCCACATTGAGTCTCCTTGTGGACAGAAAAAGCGGAGCATAAATAAACGTAATAAACATAATAATAATAATAATAATAATAATGGACCGAGTTCCCACCACATTTACCCCCCCCCCAAATTGCCCAAGCTAGAGATAGAAAGGTGCCCCCCCCCCCATATTCACTTTTGTTTATGGTCCAAGTAGTGTTCAGTAGCAATGTGGAAGGCCCCAGATAATGCATCCCTGCCACTTTGGGTGCTTGAGGTTGAGTGGCATAGAGGTGGCCATTTTTAATAGAGGCTTACTTTATAAGCCTCTCTGCAGAGAGTTTATGGAGTAATCGAGGCTTGCTCCATGAGTTTTCCAAGACCCTTTAGATTGGAGTTTGGCAACTGTGGTGGGTCTTAGGGCCAAATTTCTTTCCATAAGAGCTGTATGGGCAGTCAAAATACCCCAATATGGCAGCGAGGGGGACCAGATATGGCTGTCTGATCATGCTACACAACTTGTTGGAATGAGGTCTGTAACCTGTTGAAAAAGTAATTTTTGACTCCTAGTGCCAAACAGCTGTCAGTTTAAGGTTGTGTGATTCCCACACTTACAATGGGAGTTCCTTGATAAATTTGTATTGAATTGGACTGGAACAATTTAGACGTATTAACTGGTTAGTAGCAGCCCATTTGTTTCTAGCCTGTAGCACAGCTGGTTAATCACCAGCAGCAATAGATTTCTACTGACCGGATGGTGGCAAGTTCAAAGCACTGATCGGATTGAGCACCCGACCGTCAGTCTAAGCTCACTGTCCACTTAAGCAGTTTGAAAACAGCTGAGCTGTGAGTAGAGAAATTCAGTATCGCTTTAGGAAGGAGTTATTTTATGACACCATAAAATGCTGACGATCAAAGAACAAGGAGGGAAATTCTATGATTAAAAAGACTCATCGTCACAGCATATGGGACGCCTGCACTCCCTTGTGGCCAAAATCGAGCATAACCTTCATGCGCTGAAGTTGGAAAATGACGAAATACCTCTATCTCTCTGTCGTCTTGTATGCCTAAAAATGGCATTGAATGTTTGCTGTGTATGTGTGCATCGTGATGCACCCTGAATCCCCTTCAGGGTGAGAAGGGCAGAATATAAATACTGTAAATAAATAAGTAAATAGCCAGACCCCATCTCTTGCAAGAAAAAAAGTCGACCTCAAATATTTATACCATATAAGTATGTAGAAATGAAGATCCCTGCCAGATGGGCATTTTTGCCCTTGAATGATGAAGTAAATGGGGGTCTAACTCATCATGTTGCCTCTTTCGCTATGCAAGGTTTTGTACACAATGAAGTCGCTCTCAGAAACTCATTTGCAATACTGCATTCGGCAAAACGTAATGATCAATGCTTTATTTATTTCTCATTTTTACAGAGGAGAGGACTTACTAAAAAGAGAGTGCAAGTGTTTGGGTTTTTTAGTTCGTTTGTTTTCCTTGGTGTTTGTAAATCTGCCAGCAATTAGTAAGCATTTTTGTAATGTGTAAAAATATTATGAAGGATTTCAGATATCAAGTTCTTAATCCACTGAAAGGCTTTACTGATCTCCCGAAACATTATGTATTCAAAGACAAAATTAGATGCTCTAATGAGAGTTCTGATACTCTTTATTCTCTTTGCTTCTGCAGTACAGAAATGGTACAAGTCACTTTTGTCCAAATCCTCTTTATATTGTTAGAAATGCTCTTGCACTACTAGAAAAAACTGAAAGACAGAACATAATTTGGGTATCAAGAGGATAATAAATCCCATAGTAATGTCACTGCTGGGTGTCAAAATCATTTACATTTTCATTGCAAATGCTGTGCCAACAAGGACAGACTTAGGATACAACACTTGCATTCTCATGGAGAATAATGTTGCCATATGCACAAGGACAATTAAAAGTTAAGTTGGCTGCCTGGCATTTAATACACAGTGTATCACAACAGTTGAGTGCACAAGTTACTGTACATAGGAATTATATGGCCCTCCAGAAGTTCAACAGTGACAAATGCAAGATACTCCACTTAGGCAGAAAAAATGAAATGCAAAGATACAGAGTGGGGGATGCCTAGCTCAAGGAGGACAACTAAAATGATCAAGGGTCTGGAGAACAAGCCCTATGAGGAGCAGCTTAAAGAGCTGGGCATGTTTAGCCTGAAGAAGAGAAGGCTGAGAGAAGACATGATAGCCATATGAGGGGATATCATAGGGAGGAGGGAGCAAGCTTGTTTTCTGCCCTGGAGATTAGGATGTGGAACAATTGCTTCAAACTACAAGAAAGGAGATTCCATCTGAACATTAGGAAGAACTTCCTGACTGTGAGAGCTGTTCAGCAGTGGAACTCTCTGCTCTGTAGTGTGGTGGAGGCTCCTTCTTTGGAGGCTTTAAAGCAGAGGCTGGATGGCCATCTGTCGGGGGTGCTTTGAATGTGATTTTCCTGCTTCTTGGCAGGGGGTTGTACTGGATGGCCCATGAGGTCTCTTCCAACTCTATGGATTCTGTTATTAGATTGCAGCTTCCAGCATTCTTCACCATTGCATTGTTCAAGGCAGCTTGGACCTGTAGTCTACTGCTATTACTACTACTACATATTTTTATTTCTACTCCACTTTGTCTCTCTAAAAAGAGAGCTAAAGAGGCTGACAATAAAACCAATATAATTTTAAACCTAAAACATACAACATTAAAATAGAATTAGTTTTAAAGTCTGTAAGATTTCATTACTTTTGCCTCTGTCTTAAAGACAAGAAGTTTAGTCATTAGGTATCTTTGAACGGAATGAAAAAGGCTGCAGAAGTGAGTTGTGAATTGCTAAGGAATTTGAAATAATTATATGGAATTAAATTACATGCGTATACAGTAGAGTCTTGCTTATCCAACAGAAACAGGCCAAAAGAACGTTGGATAAGCGAAAATGTTGGATAATAAGGAGGGATTAAGGAAAAGCCTATTAAACATCAAATTATGTTATGGTTTTACAAATTAAACACCAAAACATCATGTTTTACAACAAATCGACAGAAAAAGCAGTTCAATACATGGTAACGTTATGTAGTAATTACTGTATTTACGAACTTAGCACAAAACATCACAGTGTATTGAAACAGCTGTGGATCCGGGCAGGAGGTAAACTGAGTTGGATAATACAGAACATTGGATGAGCAAAGGTTGGATAAACAAGACTCTACTGTATGTTGTTGTTGTTGTTGTGTATTTGAGAATGTATGACTTGCCCATGGTCACCCAGTGGATTTTTATGATCAAGTAGGGATTTGAACCCTGGTCTCCAGAGTCATCGTCCACAATATAATACAAGAAATATAATAATAATAATAATAATAATAATAATAATAATAATAATAAATATTCTAATATGTTGAGGGCTGTGTTGGCACAGCAGATTAAACAGCTAAGCTGCAGAACTTGCTGATTGGATGGTCGATGGTTTGAATCCATGGATGGGGTGAGCTCCCATTGTTAGCCCCAGCTTCTGATAACCTAGCAGTTTGAAAACATGTAAATATGAGTAGATCAATAGGTAGCACTTATGCGGGAAAGTGATGGCGCTCCATGCACCCATGCCGCATGACCTAGGAGGTGCCTATGGACAACGCCAGCTCTTTGGCTTAGAAATGGAGATGAGCACCACCCCCCAGAGTCGGACATGACTAGACTTAATATCAAGGGGAAACCTTTACCTTTGCTATTCTAATATACAATAGACTATACATAAAATATTATATACTGCCACAAATGTGAATTATATACTAAGAGAGTGCTACATAACCACAAAAACTGCTAAGGTATCATGGAAAAATGGTGACAATAACAATTATGAATAAAAACCTTAAAAAACAGTAATCCCTTTAAAAGGGAAGAAATGTATTTTAGGTTTACAATGTGTTTAGCCTTCTCTGTCAAAGAGTGCCAGAGGCTCACCAAATTAGAACTTCCATGATTTCACAGCATTGAGCTATAGCCATTAAAGTGGGGTCAAATTGCATTATTCCA